AGACATTAAGATATCTGATGATAAAGCAGAGAAAGGGATTCATACCTTTACCAAGGGCATTAGTGTGAAGGGAACATGGAATTTGAACCAGTTGTATATTTTATGCCAATAACCATTACACTGCCTCATACATTATTTGGATGAAATAAAATTCAGTTATTTATATTCAAATTATTGTCCTAATCTTTGTTGTTGTTATCACAATATTTCAGCTGTCATGCCCTCTGGACTTTATCAGGTGTTTTCTCAATCTGGGTAACCTTCAGGGAACTTCAAACTGAACCCTTTATTTAATCTATAAGGGTAGATTATTCTCCTGTTGCTGCCCATGTCTAGGAATATCTTATTCTTATTTAGTACTACTCTGTTATTTATTGCCCTGTTCCCATTGAATTCAAGTATCCACTGCCCAGACCAAGGATTGAACTCAAAATTACTGTCATCAAATTCATACACCAACAGATTAATCCACAAGACTATTGTCTCTATGAAAACAATGTAAATAATGGTAACTCTCCATCCCAGAAATTCAGACAGAAAATTCAGTTAAAACTCAAGATTTTATTGAAGTTTTATTTGTACAAAAAAAAAAAAAAAAATACTGCCAAAAGTATTAATCATAGTTATTCATAATATGTACAGTAATAGTCTTCTCTTATTTGTAGGGGATATATTTCAAAACCCTCAATAGATACCTGGACTTATATATAATTACAATACCTCATCTCAGAAATACAGACAGATATATATGTATATTTTTCTCAATATATACTGATGATAAATCCAAATTACAGATGAACTGTAATAAATAGTAAAATAAAACAATTATAGCAATATACTGTAATAAATTATATGATGAATAATGGATTCTTTGTAATGGTAGGTATTAACAACCTCAGCATATTTTTTTTCCCTGATTTAAGTAAAAAAAACTTCAAATTTTTCACTTAAAAGAAGCACTTAATGGCTTCTCTTTGCCAAACCTGAATTGCCAGCATCACAATTCTTGAGATTTGGGACTATTATTAAGTAAAAAGTATAAGCTGTTTATTCTTTCAGTTGATTGTGGACATATTAAACCACAGTTTAGTTGGTGTGTGTCGTATTGAAATTGTTCATTTCTCACTTGAAATAACAAAATTAAGGATGATTCAGAGTAAGATAAGAGATTTTGGGACCTCTTCTGATTGTTTTCAACAATGCCTGGGAATTATTTGTACAAAAAAATTTTTCTTACTTGATCAAGACTATTGGTTTTTATTCTCTGGAAAAAGAGTCTCTGTGGATATGAAGGAAAATATTTTGATGGCATGATAAGACAAAGATTTCAGGAGGGAATATTTAGAAAAGACTGTAATCTAAAGCTAAATATTGTTTCAAGGAAAGACATATATAGATCAAAAGATCTGAAGGGAGTCACTCAGCTCCATATGATTAGGTAGGAGAAAAGTTAATTCTCCATGTTATCCAATATGGTAATTTTCTTACAGTTGACAGTCTTGTAAAATACAACAAAAGGATAGTATTGTTTTGGATAAAGCTGATTGCTAATTTTAGTATAGAATTTAAACCTCAGTTGATCTTGTTACTTAAATGTTATAAAAGCTTTATCAGACATATAATAGGGTTTTTATACTTTTGGGGAAATTTTCTCTGACTTCATTAATAATATAAATTTAAAACTACCAGTTTAATACATAAGCATCTGTGGCTTGGGTCATCCCTTAAGCATCTGCGGCTTGCTTCATTACCACAGAATCTGTGAATTAGTTCAGTAACTTAACATTTGTCATTATTTAAGCTTTTTCCTATCAAAAGTGGCTTATGGCCACATCCCACTGAAACACTAGTTCTCATATGATAACTGAAGTTAAGCAACATACTCTGGTCAGTACCTAGATGAGTGACCACTTGGTAATATCAGTTGCTGTAAACTTGGATCTGTGTGTGGTGTAATGGATAATGGCTTGGAATTGTTAATTAGAGAGCTGAGTTCCAATTCCAGTTGGGTTTGTTATATTCACTTACATGCAAATACTCTTGAGGAAGGCATGAATTCACCTCTTCTCCCCCAGCTATAGATTAATTAGTAAGACTTGTATCACTAAACTATTATTATCTCCAAAAATTCTTACAATTTAAAAATATTTTCTGGCTTTAAATAACCTGAAAGTGGTTGATAAATCATAGGAAATGAAGGAATCTTCCAATAACATTTATTAATAAGATATTACTATAGATAGTAATATTTTTTTAAATATTTTGCAAAAAAAAAAAAAATTTCTTTTCCTTTCATCATGATCAACAGAGATTTGAAAGAATTACTATGGGGATATTTGTGTAAAAAAGAAAGCAAATGGTTGGTCGAACTTTTAATTGGTTCTATAGTTTGAAAATATCCAATTAATGTCCTCATTTTCTAATCATCTATAATCATACAAAATCCAGAATGTATTGTTTTTAAAATGTTTTAGAGACAGACAGTGCAGTAATTACCTAAGCATGAATTCAGGCTAAATTCTTCATTTCTTTTGTAAACTTGAATCTCTGTTTATAACTTCAGGCTGATTAGGGTTTTGTGTTGCATTCTGTTTTCTTGGGATCCCAATACTACTAAATAAAATGGTATCAATGAAAAGAGTCATTTACTTTTGGTATTCATTTTATTAAATATTTTAATAATTTTTCATTCTTGATTTGTATGTACTAATTTGTAATATGTACTGATTTGTAGTAATAATTTGGCATTTGGGATAGAATCTTAATTTTTTTTTTTTACTCTACCACTGGGCCCCAAGTACAAGTATTTTGTTATAAATACATTTCGGTGACCAGTCGAATTTCTTATACTTGTCTTTGGAGTGAATGCTGGATTTTGGTTTTGTATTAACAATGTCATAATAGAAAAGGAACGTTTACTCCTCATAGATGCAAAACATTTGAATTTTTTAGCTATAATTATTCTATATTTAATAATATATTTTTAACTTGGCAGAACTAGGAAAATTGATTCATGGAAATTATGTAATATTCAGACATGGAGAGCATTTGGCTGATTTTGAAATGTTAGATATATTTTTCTTCAGCTGTTGGCCACAGTTATGTATGGCATAGTTTTATATACATATAGGAATTATATTATGTTTGTTTTGAGTTTAAATAGTGTGACAGGACAATGTGAAAACCCAGATTTTGCTTTTTTTTAAAGTCCTCCCAAGTCATTTAAAGCACCTCATTTGCTTTATCACCTTCATTTTGGTAACTATGTTTTTGTTTGATAAATCTTTTTTTTTTTATTGCTTGTTTGAAATGATTTGGAGACTTAGAGGCAAAAATTGGTTTGCAAATGATGTTTGACTGAAAATGTTTGGTTTTAAATTGTCTTATTTCCTTAAATGCTTTAGATAACTGAATTAGATCTTTGTATGAATGTTACTGCATTGGGGAAAGGTGCTTTTTGAATTACTTCATAACATTTCCAGATTTTTTTCATGTTGACAAACAAATAACGTTGACTCAATTTATTGATAGCAGTTTGCAGTCTTTTATCAAATGTTTTTAACAACACATTTCATTGAGACAGTTCTGAGAGCAATAGCCTTTTGCCTTAGATTGTCATAACGACTGGAAATGGTCACAATATTTTTTGTGGCCAAATTTAAGTTTAGATTGCATAATTACTTAATAATTGTTTTTGGTAATATTAAAAAAAAATAGAGAATTTAATTTGAAAAAATATTCTTCTATACAAACTCAGTGTTTATATGAAATGTATATAATTGTTTCAATGATTTTATATTATTAAATATTATTTTTTATTTCTAATGTTACATTTTTGATATTGTAATTTAATATTTTCTACTTAAATAGATATTCAGTAATATCTTTGTCTTTAAAACCGTATCATAATGTGCTCATTGGAATTTCTTAAATCTCAGTAATTCTTGATGATATTCTTAACTATGTGTATGTCTGGCTTATCAAGGCAACATGAATTTTTGTCTGTTTTTAGTTATGAAAAATTATCTCATGATCATGTTTGATGCTTCTTAGACTTTCAAGTGTTTGATAAAAAGATCTTTGTTAATTATCACCATTTTTGTTTCCTTTCAACTGTTGATTGATAAGTAAATGTAAAAATATAAAAAGTAAAATAAGTTCATATAAAAAAAATGGCATTAAATTTTATTGCATTCTGTAAGTTATTCAATGTGTCATTCCAATGCTGCACCAAAAACATGATAAAGATAAAAACCAATGGTCAAATAGATAGTGAAAATATCTTTTAAAACTCTACTGAGAGCAAGATTCATTTTTGTGCTCTCATATCAGCTTTGAGATTAGATTTTGGCTGCCTTGGTGGAATTGTAAAATCAGAATAATCATTTTCTACAGCCTTTATAATGGTTAAAATGAATCGATTCATTTATAGTTTAAGGCTCATTTGATATTTGGCTTCTGTTAGAATATAAAAATACAATATCATTACCTTTTCATCATGTGATAACATTTGAACATTGACTTTTTAATCTGTCCCAAATACACTAAAAAAACTAAGAACCATTGCCAGCTGTAGATATTGAAAAATATTTTTTGAATTTGATTAATGATAAAGAAGCATTCCAATTTTTGGTTATTATTAATGATTTTTCCCCTTTTAATATATGTAAATTGATAAGTATAAACTGTATAAAAGCACTTTTTGTAAAGACTTACATAAGAATTTATCTTCCTGTATATTTTAGAGACTGTTATAAGAGATAAAAAAACCTATAGCTTACAAACATGGATAAAATTTGCTAAGAGTTGATGAGTTTTGTTGTGACTCATGGAGAGGTTTTTGCGTAAATAACCCTCCTCATATTGTAAAAGATCAAGAGTAAAATATAATAAATTTGTAATATCAATAAATATGTTTATATTGTTTGTTTTCTTTTAAAGTTTCATTATAACAAATTATATGTATTCATAGTTTAATGAGCTTGATTCTGATCTTTTAGAGTGCACTGGCCGTTCAGAAATCCAACAGCAGCATTTCCTTGCCTATCCACGAGGGAAAGTTTGCAATGATGGTGTCTGCTCTGCAAGAATTGGTTCCATTTCTCTTTGTCTCCGTTGTAACAAGTGGACCTTATCGGGATAAAATGTATAACAACAACAGTGTGGATATTCCAGAAATAGATGGTATGTTTGTCAGAATTCTGCACATTTTATTCTTATTATTTCCATCCCAAATAGTAAATTGTTAAGTATTGTAGAACCCAGAATTCTCCAATAGATTAAAATAGAATAAACATTTTACTCTCCCTTTTTTTTTTTTTTTTTTTTTGGTCTAGCCTATACATTCTGGAACAAATTCTAATGACTGATATTGTTATCAGATGCATTCAGGTTGTCAAGATTAATACTAGGCTCTAAATTTAAGACATGCTCTTTTGTAAGTGATCTGTTGGTGTTAAATCTATGGATGATGCACTTGAATCTTTGGTTTTATAAAAGATGTGCTCCAAGCTGTTACATTTCTTCACAGTTAGGCTGTACTTTAACTTAATACTTCAAAAAGACATATTTCAACTGAGGACAATCATACTGGAATTGAGCATCCACAACCTGATTGGTGTCAGAAATTAAATAATAGTTCATATGGAGTAGTGTTTGTTTAATTCAGCAACATATCTCCTGTAGGACAAGCTTCTATCAGCAAGTGTTGTGATTTGAGTAAAAGGATTACTGCCTGTCATATAATTGTATTTTTCATCTACTTGAGAATTATAAGTTATGGTCCAGTTGTGAAACTTTCATGGCTATGTATAAAGTTTCTTTAATGACATGAATGAAATACCACTGTACAAATACAGGCATGTTAAAGATAGCAAATGAGTGGTAAAAATCTGGGATCACTGCTTGAAACATATGAACAAAAGGAAAGAGAACTCGTGTATTAGAATAAGTATTGGTTAGTTGATGTCATCCCTGGGCAGGAAATAACATCAAAGCTGCTAAATCTCATGCCATGAAGGTGTGAAACCTATGAGAACCACTTTGTTCACTCAGCTCTCATGGTCTTGGCAGAGCATCAGAACATCCTCCGAACTAGATTAATCTGCTGGAGGTCCTGTTAGATGACATTTTTCCTGTTGCTGCATGGTTTGCCGTGAAGTCAGTTTTCAGAATGTGGATTGACTGATAGATGACTCTGGTAGGGTGATCATTAGGTTACCACAGAACATGACTGTGCCAATGAACACAGTGCAGAGTGATGGCATGGAAGATATTTGGCTGGCATGTCTCCCAACAGAGTTTCTCATTGGACACAAAGATCAGACCATCACCCTCTCAATGGTCCTGAGGGTGTAGGACTCAAATCCATGGATACAGGAGATGTGGGTCTTGCTAAGAAACCACATCCCAATGCTGTATAGTAGTTCAGAAAGGATGATGACATTGTAAACTCATAACTTGGTGCATTGGGAGATGTCATGCTGCCACCATTGTGAGCTCTAAAGGTCTCTCATGACACGTGCAGCCAGCTCACATCTTCTGTTGATCTTTATAAGGAGGTTGCTGGTATTGGAAACATCTATGTAAATTTAGGTGAAAAAAAATTCTCCATTAAATGTGTGTGTGTGGATTGACTACTTTTCTGTTTCACCTCCTCAGTGTATAAATATAAAAAGACAGTCTCATATTCTGGTATTGCAGTCCTTTCAGATTTTTATTTACCAAAAAATGTCCAGAATCTTAGAGAATGAAGTTTGATATCACAGTGTTGTGTATTTGAGCCTGAATGCAAATGTAGCCTCTGAACAATGGATTGACATAGAAAGCTCTCTTTACTATTCATGACTATAAGTGCTCTGAACATTTTCTTGTTTAATTTAATCCAGGTTACATCAACAGATAAATACTTTTAGATAGCTGCCATTACTGAAAGAGTTGGAAATGTAGATATTCCATGCCTCCCTGAACAACATAACTTTTCAAAATATGCTCCTTTAACTACATCTCTTGCACATAGCTTCCTGTGCTGGACAGTTTCAGCAAAGGTGTCTATAATTCCTACAGAAGAAACATTACTCTCTTACAGAGACAGCAGCCAATGCTTAGTTTATAGGTAATCTGTCACTTTTTGTACATGTGTTTATATTTTCACTGGAGGGATCTGTTGCTACACTAAATATTGTCTGTAATGTAGCATATGATTCTGAATTCTTTTGTAATTGTTTTAAAGCTCTTGCTTGATCAAAGGCAACTGCAAATTCAAGGTTTTTTTTCTCAAGAAGCAGCTAATGGATGATATTAGACTACCTATAAAAGCATTGCATATAGTCTCTTTTATTACACTTTTCAGCACTGAGAGCCTTGTAATTACAAGGTGTTTTAGTACCTTCGGTTGTTCATGTCTCCCTCTAACTTTTGCCAAGAGGTGGCTAATAATACTTTGTATACAGCTCATTACAAGTTTTGTTACCACATTACAATACATTTCATAATCAGGAATATACTTGTCTATTATCTAGCGAGACTACTCCTTATAACCAAGTCAATGGACAGTATGAACGTTAGAATGAAATATGCCAGGCAGTGACCCTTGCATTTAAATCAGAATGTTTGCCTTTGATTCATTGGGAGTTTGTCCTACAAGATGCATTGTATTCAATATTCACTTTGCTATTGACTTCTGCTAATGCTACTTTGCATCAATGATATTATTGTTGTAGAACCCAAATTTATTTCTTAGATTTTATTCAACAAAGAATGTGGCAATACACATGACAGTAATCTATGTCACTTTTCAGGAAGAAACAAAGTTCACCAACTTCACCCATGAAAGCAACAAAAGTGTATCTAGTCTTGTGAGCCATGTTCATAATCCTGTACACTAGAAGTTGAATTGTCATTGAAATAACAGTGTATAACAAATAATAAACAAAATGATTACAGGAAGCGACCAAATTTTCTGAATTTCTTAAAAGAAATCAGAGGATTTTTCTCATGGTTTTCATTTTGTCACAAAATAAATAAATATTCATTTAAATTGTAATATAATTGATGATTTTTCTTTTTGTTTTGTAATTTCTATTTGAAAGAAACCTAGAGAAGTTATGAAATATGAGTTTTTCCTGAAGAAAAGCTATTTCTACTTTTTAATAGATTATGCAATGAATGAGATGCTCTTAAATTTCTTTTGTATTTTTCTTCTCTTTCTAAAGGAATTGAAAACAGTTTGGTCCTGATTTATTTGCAGAGATATTTAAAAAAATAAAAATATTATCATGGAAATGTCTTAAAGGAAATTTGATGAAGGCAAAATGTTAATAAATCTTTTCCATGAAACATGATAATGTTCTTACTGTTAATTTCTAATATTCTTAAGATTAAATTCATTTTGTGTATACAACATAGACACTAACAAGCATAATAAAGCTAAGTTAGACTGGATTTATGAGGAAAATGTCATTTTTTTTATTTGGAAATAAGTGTGTATGTAATTATTTACTAAGCTTAGCTTAATATGGTACATGGTTACAATTCTGACTGAACTGCAAAATAGTTTGAGTGACATGCTCACTAAAAATATATATATGTATATCTGAGATGATGTTGAAATGGTCTTGCCTTGAACCACTTTCCAAATACTGAACAAATATTACATTTCTTTTGAAGGGTTTTTAGTTTGGTTTAGAAATTTTCAGCACCCTCTTTGTATGTGTATTAATAATAATGGCTGAGTACTTGTTTCCGAGCACACCTGTCTGTTAGCACAGATAACCAGTCCCTGTTGCAGATGCCTGCTCAAGCACATTTGTGTTTCATCAGCATCCACAGAGAACAACCAGTGGTTTATACTGTAACTATGCTGAGTGGCCCATAGTTACATTTTCTGGGAGAGAGTGCAGAATCTGATGTGATCAACAGTTTGAACATTTGCTCAAATTCTTGGTCACGATGACTTGTGACTTTTTTCTAGCACAACCATCAACAACTTTAGAACAGTTGTGTCTACCCATTTTCACTCACAAGGCTTGGGTCAACTCGTATGTGTGTTTCCATTTCTTTCTTTCCTTCTCAGTACATCTGTGTTTCTCTCCAACTTTGTTGAGGTGTGTCTGCATTTGTATCTCTCCCTATTAATCCATCTGAAGTTTATATCTCCTTTTCTTACTCTTCTCTCTCCCTCTCGATGAATCTGTATTTATTTTTTTCTTTTAGTGTGTCTGCATGTGTCCTTTTCTCATTTCTGCTCAGTGTTGTCTGCATTTATTTCTCTCTCTCCCTTTTTGAGTCTGACTGCATTTGTTGCTTTCTCTCGGTGCGTCCGCATTTGTTGCTTTCTCTCGGTGCGTCCGCATTTGTTGCTTTCTCTCGGTGCGTCCGCATTTGTTGCTTTCTCTCGGTGCGTCCGCATTTGTTGCTTTCTCAAAAGGCGTCCGCATTTGTTGCTTTCTCTCGGTGCGTCCGCATTTGTTGCTTTCTCTCGGTGCGTCCGCATTTGTTGCTTTCTCTCGGTGCGTCCGCATTTGTTGCTTTCTCTCGGTGCATCTGCATTTGTTTCATTTTCCTCATTTATTTGTGTGTCAAGATTTCTCTCTTTCAGTGTGTCTATTTATTTCGCTATCTCATTGTATGCATTTGTATATCTCTCTTTATCTAGGCGTGTTTGCATTTATGTATCTCTCCCTCCTTGTTTTTGCATTTGTCTCTCTCTTCCTCCCACTCTTGGTATTTCTGTCTTTCTCCCTTCCTCCCTTCTCAGCATTTGTTTCTGCATTTTCCTCTTTCTTCTCCAAATTTGGGTTCCTTTGGGTGTGAACATTATTGCATAAAACTCATTAAGAGAATTGAGTGAAAATTACAATAATCTTAAGAAGTTTTTTTTTTAGTAATTTTGACATGTGGCTTGAATAAATGAACAACACAGATATTGACATCAGAGTTAGCCAGGTTTCACTCATTGAATGCATGTGTCAACATTTTAAATCTTTTGTCAGCAGTGGAAATAGAATCAATTTTTCTCTTTCAGTTTCAAGATTTCCAAAACCGAGTTCCGATCTCACTGATTTGAGAGTCATTGTTGGCAATGTGAAGACTCTGTCAGCTTGGGTCCATCAATATGAAGAGCATATCTCTCAAGAATGGTTTGAACCTTGGGAGCAGTTTAATTGGGTTGTAAAAAATCTGTAAGTTTCCAATATTTTTGTTTCATAAATTGGAAATGCAACAAGTAGGGAAAATATGCTAAGTTTAAGTTACACCCAAGATAAATATAAAAGTTATTTTGGTCAACATTTATGATTTTTCCCAAAGTATTTGACTGTAAATGATGAGGATGTGTGTGTGGTATAATGGATAGCAGTTTGGAATGAGAAATTAGTGAGCCAAGTTCAAATTCTTGTTGGGTCCATGGTATTCACTTATGCTTTGATCATTTCTGTGAAAACTATCCATCTCTCCTCCAGCTATGGGTTAAATAGTAGTACTTGTATCTTTAAAAATAATTGTTATTCTCAAAAAATTGTTATGCACTTGCAAAAAAAAAAAAGAAAAGTATCATTCTTAGAATCCCAAAAATATGTTCCGGCTTTAAATAACCCACAAGGAGTTGATAAGCCAAAAAAAACAAAAAACAATCAGTCTGTTAAAATGGAATGCAATAAAATCAAAGGATAAAGCGAAGATATATTTATAAATATAAATGTATTGCTATCAATCAAGAATAGTTGCATTTGACCTATTGCCAATACTGTTGAAGTGAGTATCATTATTTGAATTGAATTCAGATATTCTCCTTCCCCCATTTCAAACTAATCAACAGTATCAAGAATGGTCTGAAAAGTCATTTTCAGCATCATAAGTTTTCACCTGATTGTCATAGCATTGAAATTCAATGATAAATCAATAAAAAAATTGGAAAATAAATCCTAAATTCAAAGTACACTATTGTTAGATGGAAAGCTTCATGTTAGTCCAGCTGATTCATTTGTGTATACCATTTTATGGCCAATTAGTTTTATTAGACTTGGTTATAAACAACAAATATATGTGTCTGGTCAGCCTGCCTGGAAAATGTTAAGCCCCTGACTTTTTAATAATTTTGTTGCATTTTAATTTAAAAAAATAAGCGGTAGTCATTTTTTTAAGTGAAGTCTTTGTTTTGAGAAATATGTGTTTTATTTTTTGTATAATAAAAATGGTTTCAGAGCAAGTACAAAGTCTATCATCAGCTGCTTTGTTGCATTCTCTTTAATCTCATCTGCAATTTGAAAATTCCTTTTCAATGGTGATTTTCATTTTGGAGAAAAGCCAGAAATCACTTGGAGCCTAACATGGATTCTTGGCAAGTTGACAGACTTGGGTGATGTGGTGTTTTGTCAAAATACCCTGCAGAAGGGATGATGAATATGATGGTGACACAGTATACAAGTTGACTCAATGACTTTTCACTGCTGATTGTGTAAACCCATGGGGTGGGTGCATCTTCTAACATACAAGAATGTCCCTTCTAGTCTGTTGTGTTCACTTTGCACTAATGACCTTGGAAAAGGTTTGAATCCATTTCTTCTTTCCTCTCAACCACTGTCAGTTAAATTTCAGAGTAAACTGGGTTCTAGCCTTGGATGGCAACCGGCCTAGGAGAAGGACAACTTTGAATTCAAATCCATGGAGAAGGCAACAAGAAATCACTCAATTATTTTTCCCAAGAGGTTACTGCAATTTACAGATAATGAATAAAAGGAATCTAGGGGAGACATGATTGCTTATGTCCTGAAGGGACATGGCATTTAAAAAAAGTATGCACATAACCCCCAATTTTTTTTTCTTTACAACTGGTAAAAAAATGTGAAGAGTATATAACTGACCAGTTCAAACAAGTTAAATCAAAGCTGTGCAATTGTTTTGTGAGATATTCAAAATGGCTACTTTTTCTGAAACAATCTTAAGTAATTACTATGCTGGTATTATTTAGTACAAGGCTGCATTAAACAGAAACTTGGTTAGGATAAAACCCATTGCATTAAACAATTGGCTTGCTCCCTATGATGTTTGAATAGGACCTTTTATTATTAAATTTAACTTTGCTTGGCATAAGGCTAAAGGGATGAACACTCACCACCCAAACAAATAAGTTAGTACAATGACCTTGTTCACTCTTGCCAAAAAAAAAAAAATCCTAGAACAAGAGTAAATTGGGATTGTTTCTTGTTTTATGTAACAAGCTGTTTCAAAATTGGCATTAGTTTATTAAAATGTTATTAATTTATTAAAATGGCATCATATTTTCAGTGAGAGTAAAATGTTTGCCCCCTTTCTAGCCTGTGGCTTAGTCTTTACCTGGTACAGTTTATAACAAAAAAGAAAAAAAAATTCATTTCATGCATGATGTCACTCATTCAGAAATATCTAAACTATATACAACTGCTTTCTCAGATCAATGATGAAAAATAGCTTTGAGCAAATGAAGTCTTAGCAAGAACCATCCTTGTGAACTGACATGACAGAATCATAAATAAAGATCTATATCAAATAATGGAAACCCCATCACTTGAGGATTTTCAACAATAGCAACAATTAAAATGAATAGTGCATGTCATGTGAAGAGAAAATAATAAAATAATGATGACATTCCATACTACTTCAAACAAAAGATTAGGAAGGAAGCCCCCTCCCATCAGTACTGGAAAACTTGTTTTATAGAAAGATTTTATAAATTACAAGCAAAAGTAGCACTGTCTGCATGGTCAATGAATGAATGTTTCTTTATAAAGAAATGGCTAATATTACCATTATCATTCTGATAATCAAGTGAAAAACATCTTGAACATGATAAATTTTTGAGCCCTCAAAATCAGAGAAGCAGTCAATATTGATTTATATTTAAAAATATGTGATTTCTATTTTAAAATGTATTTATATATAAATAGCATGTTAAGTAACATGTACATAAAAGACATCAAATTATTATTCATAATTGAATATAAATCTGTTTTTAATTGTAGAATACCAAGGCTTCAAGAAATTATAACTGGTGTTGGATTGACAGTGCCAGCCATAACAAGTATATTATCAAAATACTTTTTCAGAATATGTCGAACCTTTGGTAGAACCTTTGTTGATAAAATGGTAAGTTTATATTGATAAAAAAAAAAAGAAAATTTTCTTTTCTTATTTATTTTCCCAATTAAAAAAATGATATAAAATTAGTCATTTAATGTAAAACTGAAAATAAGTTAAATGTGAACATGTGGTATATAATGAAAGGAAGTCGCAATTATTTGGCATTTACTGAATTACTTTAGTTGTAAGTGATTAAATTTAGAGTTAATGTAAGTTTTGAAAAAAAGCTGATAAAGCTATTCAGAAAATATATTATTTAGCATTTTTAAAAACTCTCATTAAGATTTTTAATGATTAAATCATTATTATCATGGAAAATATAATCGTTGAGTTGTCCTGGTTTCTTTTGTTTGCTTTACACTAATACCCTTGGGAAAGGCATGATTTTAGTTCTTCCAACTCTTCAGCTATGGGTTAAATCTCGAGCCTTGGATGGCTATGAAAAGGACAACTCTGAATTTAAAACTGTGGAGAAGGCAATGGGAAATCACTTAACTAACTTTCTTAAGAAATTAGGGCAATTAACAGATGATGGAGAATAGAAATGTGTGGAGAACCAGGATTAGGCCTGTCCTCAATGGACATGACCTTTAAAAACAACAATATGTCTTTAGTCTGACAAAATATGTGAAAAGTATCTAACTATCCAATTTTGACAATTTGAACATGTCAGAATGCCTAAGGAATATTCTTGCCATTTATTGACATATTCAGTTTCACTGCATTATAAATTGGTTTGTCATGAATATCTTTTGTACTTACCTTGCAACATTTGAAAAGTATTGTCTTGGAAATGGCAATTGCCAAGCTTTGTTCAAATTCCAGCCTGGCTTATTGTGTTCGCTTATGTTTACTAATATCCATTATAAAAGCACGAATTGATCTCTTCTTCCCTCCCCCAGCTATGGATTAAATAATAAAGTAGATAGGTCTCTTGCCTTGAGTGTCAGTCTAGGAGAAAGACAATTTTGAATTCAAAATGATGGAGAAGGCAGCAGGAAATTAATCTACTATCGTTCTCATAAAGTTATGGGAATTCACAGATAGTACAGAAAGGAAGCTGAGAAGAGGCATAATCATTTGTATCCTGAAGGGATATGACATTAACAATAAAAGAAAGGAAATTAAAGTTATAATTAGCATATTTAAAAAAAATACTAGATAAACGCCTTTTTTGAAAAAATAAGGCATAAAATATTAAAAAAAATTAGCAAAAATTTTGTTTGGCTGAGAAAAGATTTTGCAAAGTTTCTTAACTTAGTTATAATTAGTGCAACTTACTTGTGGTTAGTTCACTTTTTGCAAATGAAGGCAAATATGATGAAAAAAAAACGTTTAAAATTTTCTCTTTTCTTTAGGTGAAGCCAAAATTCCGAGAACTCTTAGACATCCCAGAGGAAGAATTAGGTAAGTGATTTTGAAAAAAAAAAAAATGTATTAGATATGTGCATAAGTTTCCAGTGTTTTTATTAAAAAGAATGGTTCTCATCTGTTTATTTAATCTCTTTCTGGTAAAAAGATAGAGGTAGGTACTTTTGCTCAACCCTAATATCTTGCTGTTTAGATTGAAATAAAAAATGTACTTTGAAGATATATTGATTTCAATTTAATTTCTTGATGTGTAATTTGAAAAACTAAATGTTGCAGTCGAGTATTTGTAAAATATTTATTTGAGCATCATACATTTGGATTTAACTATGACCCAGTTTCAAAAAATATTCTTCGGCTTTCTTCTCCATTATGAATTAACAAAACTAAGACACACATACACAGGAAAATAAAAAAGAAATCGAAACATGACAGCAGAATTAATCGTTGCAGTTGAAACTGCTTAATCGTAAGTTTGTTCTGAGTTACTTCCCTTGTCCTGTTTTGCATTTTCACTCAGCCGTTTTCTGCGAATGTTTTATAACTTATATAGGATAATTAATTCATTAAAGGCTACGCTTTCCTTGCAAAGTAGCAGAAGAATAGAATCAGAAATACTATATTGATTTATAATAATTTTTGAACATCGAAGAAATAAAAATGTTTTAGACGTGAAATGAAAATGTAATGAAGAGGTAATTAATCAGGTTACAATGTAATTGTCTTCCTTGTAATGTACATCTAAAAGCAACTGCTGTCTCGTCAATATTGATTTCTAACTAGACTTACATTGAGTTCCTGGAGTTGCTAAAACTGCAGAAGTGTCTTAATTTTAGTCAAATTAATGACCAGACCACTAGTGATATTATACTTTTTTATATAAAAGATTTGCTTCAGACTGTCACACTTTTATTTGGTTGTTGACAAATTGTTTTTTTCTAATGGCAAAACTTTCACATGCATGAAGAAATGTATGTTTGAGATTAATTTCTGTCTTATGTATACCTCCTCCGTCAGGTCAGTGTTTATACCTATTTGTCTTTGAACTTGAAAATGTAAATGAAATGTTTATAATTAATAAAAACTCAAGTAATCATATAAAATAATTAAAAAATTTCTTGCATTTTACAGAGTTTAAGTTTTTCACAAAAATTAATAAACTTTTTATTTTAGATTTGAGGTTTGTTGTTGATTTTTTTATAGAAAGTACACAAATTCATTTTGCTGGGGTTCCTAAAGAATGAATGAAAACTTCTTTAGTTAGGGTAATATTTGGTTTATCATAGAAATAAATAATTGATTTTCATTATGATATCAAAGTGTCTAAGATATATTTCTAAGTTTTAAGAGACGTTTTTAGACTTAACCTTAAGAAATTTGATGCAAAATATTTATTGTAGTGCCATTTCAGAAATTATTGAAGTTAATGGTCTCATTAAAAATAAATTTTGTCATTTATAGCTTTTGGGGTTATAGGAAAATGTTTTAAATTAACACAGCTACAAATTTAAAATAGTAATCAAAATTAAATTAATTTTGTCACTTTTCAAAATTTAGATATAATTGTACACTTGGTTAAGCTCTGAGGTATGTATATTGCCTGATAATGAGTACTGAAGTTTTTTTTACTTTTTTTTTTAATCAAATTACCCCATGCAATTCAGTAAAGTCACAAAGACACAGGGGGTTACTGAGTGTGAAAGAATTAGAAAACAAACATTATTAAGGAGTAAGACCACTAGAAAAGTAATCAGGAAGACTGTAGATCATGACTGTCATAGCATTTAAATTTTTGAAGATCAAAGTTGGCTTGGAAGCATGGAGCTGGAAGAGTGTTCCACAAACAAGACATGTGAGAAAATAAACTGTTAGAATAGAACTTACAGGTCAACTGTAACTAGCCAATTCAACTGTAAATTGATTTGACTATGTTGCTACTCTAGTACTATGCTTAAATTCATAAAATCTAGGGACCATAGTGAAGATCTCATCTGAACAATTACCATGAAAGTAGATGTCGCAGCCATAGTTATTTACTTTGTTTACTATCTTTGAATAAAAAACTGTGGCAGATGTAGAAAAGAATAACACAAGCAAAAAAAGAAAGAAAATATGGTTTTTCTAAAATTTTTTGTGTTGTTGAGAACAAATAAATTGGCAAAATTTGCTTTCCAGAAATTCAATGGCTTGAAGAGTATACTTTTGCATTATGATACTATCATAATTAATTTTTATAGTTTTCTAAATTTAAGTGAAATCATAGAATCATTTAACTTGGTATCATGTTGAGAGCCTTGATAGAATTTTGGCATTACAATTTGGAGATCTTAGAGTTCAGGGTATACTTGTAACAAATCAAAGTTCGATGAATTCCTCTTTGTTTAGTTTTGCAACTTACATGTCTTTTTAATCTTTTTGAAGTGATAATTATTACAATATAAAGAAGGGACATTTTAGCTGAAAAAGACTATTTTCAAAAATGAATTGTCACTGGTTTCACATTTTTTTCTTGGTGCTTGTTCAATCTTGCTTATTATCACTATCCTTGGAGAGAGAAAATTCTTTGAAGAAATATTTTTTAGCTGTGAATAATTAGTTGCAAAAGTGTAACTTTCTTAAAGATTTCTTGTCAGTTGTTTTCATGCTAGAAGTAGTTTTTTTTTTTTTTTTTTTTTTTTTGGAGGGGAAAGACAATGAAGAATATTGTGCCAAAAAAAAAAAAAGAATGAATTTGAAGATGATCCTTGAGTACCCTGGGAGAAGAGCTTACTTGCTAGTCTAAGCTTGCTTAAATAGGGTTCCAACATCTTTCTTACTTATCAGAATTGTCAGAGAATGCCAATAAAACTAGTGAGAGATTTTCTGGCAAGACTTGAGCTAGCAGGAAAGCAGTTAGTATATTTTTTGGGATTGTGTTATGTAGAAACCAAAACTGGGCTTAAGAATTACTACCCTCAGACAAACTTCCTTTCATTTCTCCAAGACTGGTTAAGAGAAATAATCAATAAAATAATGTGAAAATAGTCTACATAGATCATCTCCATTCTGCGATTAGTATTGATTGGTTAGCTATGATTATGGTGATATAAGAAGGGCCTGGAGAGGTCACTAAGTGTGGGTGGACTTGTGAAGAACAGGATGACTATATCTAGTTTACATCAAGAGAACAAATGGGACATTCTAATTTGGCTCCTTTGAACAATAACTTGAACCTGGTTGTCTCTGTTTTGAACATTCAAATCCAGTGCAGCCTTCAATGTTCATGGTCTGAAAACTTTGTTAATAGGTAACACTGTGTATCAAGATGGCCAGTAAGTAGCATTATTCTTGTTACGACACTCAATTTCTTAGTTTTTATTCTGCATTCATTTTCTTGGGTTTTGAAACTTGATCATCATGGTTAATACAGGCAGTCATGTGGCGGCTGTGGTATTATTTGTAGTATATGCAAGTTAGTGTTGTGACTTGAAAATTAAGTAAAGTTGTCAAATAATTTTGCTACCTAATTTTTCCTCTATTAATCTGATAGTTGTTGGGTAGAGCCAGTGTTTATTGATTCATTTGGACCAGTTTGTTTCTAAGTTGTTTTTTATGACAACATTTCATTTTTTGTAACCTTTAACCTTTTTCTTTCTGGAATTCTGTGATGTAATTCTTTCAGAGCAGTTTGCCTATTTCTGTTTTTATTATAACATTTTTGTTGTTGTACTTTCTGATTTTTCTCTGGTGTCTGTCTTCTATTTAGTCAGCCTCTTGGAACATCAAATGGTACCATTTATTTTCATCTGCATATGTTGCTCTCATTCAATTTTTGTCTTTCTGATGGAATTTTAGAATGAGTAACGAAGAACCTTATGTCAATTTGTCTCTCTGCTGAGCCAATTTATATTTTAACACTACCAACCCAGTGATTCAGATTGGGATTTCAATGAAACAAGATGATCTAGAATGTGGCTTAGCAGATAAAAGTGCAAGTCTAGCTCATCTGGTTTATTGGACATGGGAAGTTCATTTTTTGGGTCTATTATTGCAGAAATATATATTGGGTCAGTGGAAAAATAGGTTGGCATTATTAAGAAGAACTGATGATTTTTAGTTTGGAATTGCTAAGTGAGATACTGGTTATATCAGGTAAAGGAATTAAGACAAGGCACTTTCAGGATTATGGGGGGAGAAAAGGTTCCATTATATATTCCTAGGAGGTTATCAGATGTAACTCATGAGGAAGACCTGAAGGTATGAAATGTGACTGAAAAATGAAAATTTTGTAGTTTGCTTATATTTAGTCACTAGCTCAATTTCTTCTTCATTTTAACTTATGAGTGTATTTGTTTTGCACTATTGCTCTTGGGAAAGGCATGAGTTCATTTTTTCTTGCCCCAGCTAGACTAGGTTCTTTTGCTTACAGTGGTAGCCTGCCTAGGAGAAGGATAAACTTGGATTCAAAACCATGGAGAAAGCAATAGAAAAGATCTCCATCATATTTCCCAAGAAGTCATGGTAATTCAGTCAAAGAAAAGGAATCTATTGAGAGCTGTGATTGCCTGTGTCTTGTTCCTGTATATTTGTTCATATTTTTGCCTGTGTGTACAAGTCTTATTAAAAAACAAAACAAAAAAAAACAAGAGATATATCTTGTGTTTTGGTTTGCCGTGACTTGTATTTATAAATTGGTTAATTTTTAAATGATAGGATCATGTAATTATGAAAGGAAATTATATTTTAAAAAAAAATAAGATAAAATGATTTTGATATGTGCTATTTAAAAGTGCATACATTAAAGATGTTGAGATTTTAAAATATTTATATCACTTGTCCATTCAAATGTAGTGACAGTTATAAATGTTTTGTGTCACTGACATGAAAAGTCATGTCCAATTTTAAATGAAACTAGTTTTACTCATATTCAAATATAAATTAAACAGTTACTAATCAGGCAAAACAAAGTCCTTTTTTTCTTTCTTAATTTTAATATTAGCAGTAATAATAATAGTTTCCTTATGTGGAAACATTCAGCATTCTTTGACTAAGCAGCCAGTGCTATTTTCCGTTAAATTTTATAAAATGTTTCTATTAAAACAATTTTTCAGAAAAATAGGTTTCTCAAGTTTGCAAACTGTTTCTGCTCTTTCCAGTATTGATGGGGGCTTCATCCCTAATCTTGTTTGAAGTAGTGTGGAACATCAACATCTTCATCATGTCATTATTTTCATACACCAAGGTATATGAGGTGTTTAGTACTTACTAATAAAACTAATGGAAATGTTAAATATTAATTTCACAGTACATGAGTAAAGTTATTTAATGATATCTGTAACATATGCAAATCTAAATTGAAACTTTTAAAAGCTTTTAAATGTTCACTTTTCCTATTGTGTAAATATATTGAAATTATAAATATTTGCTTGATGTAGGATGAAGTGTTGCTTTCTTTAAGAGGAATGTACATAGCAAATTGAATTTTGTTTCATCTAAGTTTACAGCTGCTTGGGATATATATCTCCACTGAATAGATTTGTTGGGGATTGAATCTCAGCTGCAAAAACCACAACCGTGAACTGGAAGAATGAAATAATTACTCAAATATTTATTTATGTACATGTGTGGGGATATAAGTTTGTATTTGTATATTTGTGCATATGTCAATATATGTTGGTTGTGGATGTGTGTGTGTGTGTACATGTGATGAAAAAATAATTTCACTTCAAGCAAGGCAATAAGGCCACTAAGACAAAATTGAGGGGGTTATTGACTTTGAGAGAATATGAGAAAAATAAAACAATTATTAAGGAGAGAGAATAATTTAAAACAGGAGTTACGAAGACAGATGATAACGATTGACATTGCATTTAATTTTTTGACAATGTTGACTGGAAAGTAAGACACCAGAAGAGAGTTCTACAAGCAAAAAGTATGAGAGAAGAAACTGTATATTATTTTTTAAATGGCATAAATCAAAATCATATATAAAATTTATATTTGATATATTTTGTATTTTGGTATGATGAGACTTGTATTTACAAATTGGTTAATTTTGAAATGATAGGATCATGTAATGTAAGACATAATTTAAAAAAAACTCTGAAGGTTGTTATTAATAGCAGCAATATTTGTTAACTCAAATTTAATTAAACATAAAAATAGACAATAAAAATGTTATAATGTTTTTCTAAACATTTGATATTTGTTTAAATAATATTTGAAGTTTTGAAATGATTTAGAAAAATGTAACAGTTATATGCTGATAAATTCTCTATTTTTACGACATCCATAGCTTTTTGTTTTTAAGAGAATTATTGGTCAATTTGAATATATATTATTTGAGAATTATTAAATCTTAATTGCGCTGATGAAAGCATTAAATAAAAAGCTTAAAGAAATTAACCCTAGCTACTTTTTTACAGTATTGTTTATCACTTTGAGAAAAGTCCTTAATGTTACAGATTTTGTTCAGCAATTGAATTTCTTTGTTTTTCATGTTTTGTTCAATTTATTCTCCAAGCTTTACCGGGTGCATAATCCATTAGAAAAAAACCTATTTATCTTCTGCTACTGAAATGGACAGATCCTGTTGGTCTGTTAATGAGTACTTCATTTCTGTCACTATGTTTTTGAAGAAATAAGATTATCCCCTCTTTGTCTAAGAATTCATACAGGTAACTGAAGAATGGAAGGTCTTAAAACCTTTAACAACATCAAGAAGGCAGTGTTCAGTTGTCTGAACAAAATTTGGAATGCCTTTAGGAGTGTGTATAAATTATTTGAGCGAGCTTATATATATATATATATATATATATATATAGCACAACTCAGAGTTGTGCAATCAATGTTAGGTATTATGTATATTTCTTAATATATATTAAATAGCATGATCATTTAACATTGAGCACTGATTTTTCTTACACTATATATATATATATATATGACACATTTTTATTTTACATTCTTTTACAGATACAAGTATTTAAGTATTTATACTTTTTAGTAAATGCTCTGTTTATAATAAACAGTATTAAACAACATTTACCGGTCTGAATGTCTGAGAAATTTTCACAGGGAATATTCGTCCTCTGAATATATATATATATATATATATATATATATATATATATATATATATATATATATATATATACCTAGTGAGCCAGACAAACCTACATAGGTTTCACCTAAACGGATCGTCAGGGAAACTTTTTCAAACGAGTCTAGTTATCTATATTATATATATATATATATATATATATATATATATATATATACACACACATGATTGCTTGCTTGCTTGTACATTTACCTATATTTATTCATTTGGTCATATATATATATATATATATAATGGTTAGCTGATACAAAGTAATTGAGTAGCTCATAAGCCCTAAAATATGTTTCAAGGATGTAGTTAAATGTAGCCTAAAGACTCTTGGCATTAATATTGAAGACTGGGAAACTGTTGCTGGAGAAGGTCTATTTGGGAATGCTGCAACAATTTTGAGCAGAAGATTACCGAGTATTCCAACAAAAAGTGCTCCATTAGAAAGGGAGAACTAGAATCTAACCCAGAGATATTAGGACACCAACATATGATAGCTGGTTTAGCCAGTCACATGAGCTCACACCAGAGAGGTCAGATGCAAACTACTGTGAATGCAACCCCTCTACCAGAAAGACCTACAGGTTACCGGTGTGAGTTTTGTGAGAAGGTTTGTAAGTCTGTTGCAGGACTCAAACAACATAGGCAACACTGATAAACTTTGTTTGCCACATGTGTAAAAGAGATGTTGTAAAAGTGAAGCTGACCTTAGTAATCACTTATAGACCCCATAATAGTGTGTTATCTTGGGTAAAAATGATGGAAATAATAAAATTCTGAATGAAAAAAAAAAAAAAAAAGCTAAAAAGTGAAGAGGTCTTCAGCAAAGAAGTAACAATCAACATATTTCTTATTACTATAAATGTTATTTTTAGTGGGTACATGTTTGAATTGCTATCCCTATACCGACTAAAATTTATGTTTATAGTAATAAGAAATAATGTTAGATAAAAAATCCTTTCAAATATATTTGAAGTAAGAACAATACTCTGGATTAATTGCTGTGCCTACAATCCTTTTTTGTGAGGCCCCAAACAAGAAGACATTTGTTCTTACATTATTACTATTAAAGTAAAACCTAATATATGATCTTTCTGTTGTGAAGTGAGGTGTAAAAAGAAAAAAAGAGAAATCTTTGGTAAATTCTAAAAAAATTACTTAATATTAACTTGATAAAGACTTGAAGAATGTGTCAGCCAAAGAGTTATTAAAAAAAAAATGTTGAAAAAAAAGTTAGCAAATATATAATGAAAATACTTTATGACAGTCATTCAGAAAGCAACCAATGTTTAAATATTTTTTTAATAAAACTGATTTTGATTTGTTCCCTCCACAATGAATAATTTACAGTTAATCAGTCAAAGAAATATTTTCTTTACGTAAATTCATGAATTCTGAATTTTTTTTTTCTTTCCTAGACAATCATGTAATTTCTGGTCAGACTGCTCTGACAACCTGCATTGTTCCTGTCTATGCTGCTGGAGTTCTGTGTTCATTCAATTCTGTAAGTACATATCTCTGTTTATCTGATTAGCTTACTTTCAGAAAAAAAGAAAAAAAAAACTTCCTTCACTTTACGTCTCTTTTGGATTTGTGATTGACTTTTGTTTACTGCTCAGCCATCTGTCACTATTGATTACTAATCATCTTTGATTTGTCAGCATTGAGTTTTGACTTTCTGTTAAGAGAAAGTGAATATCAGAAAAAAAAAACTGTTCCATGCATTTTGTTAACATAAATTGTATCTAGTGCTCATCATGATAAGCCAAATCCTATTAATTTGTGTCTTTTTTAATAGCCTTAATACTGTCAATTGTCAATGGATGCTTGTATTGATTCCAACATTGATGATCTTGAATAAAATATGTTTATATGGAAAGAATGCAGATTTTTATCATAATCTTTTTTATATGCAATGGGCACTACTAATATTTACATGATGCACATTATGTGTACAAGTCAATATTATTAGGAAATAGTGTTTATTATCATAAGATAATGATCTTAGGTATTAATTGAGCATAATTTTTATACTTAATTTTACTGTAAATAAAGTAACTTTATTTAATATTGATACATTAATGAATAATAAATACATGTTTAAATAATTTTGTTGATTATGAAAATTAATTATGATTTATATAAATGTAAAAATATTTGTTAAATGTTATTTAAATATTGATATTTTAATGAATATTAAATAAATTATATCTTTATACATTTATCATTTCAAAGAATATAGAATTTTAAACTGATAATATATAGTATTATTTATTAAATATATAATTTATGTTAATAGTTAATTGATTCTAAATAACGCTAACTGTATCAAATATATTTATTGAATTATCTTTGATTTAGTAAGTTTTATTGAGAACTTCTTAAAAACACAATCTGAATAAAAAAATTAAATTAATTTTTTTCTGTGCATATATATATATATATATATATATATATATATATATATATATATATAAATACACATTTTTATTTTTTTTATTTTTAGACAATTTGACAAGACCATCTTAGTTGGCTGTAAAGTCAGCAGGTTAAAACCAACATTTGATTTGATCAAATTGGATTAAGCCAAGAATTTTTCCCTCACACTCCTCCCCAATGAAAAACTATTATTGCTGCTGATATAGAAATTTTTTTTCTTTGCTATAATTATATAAAACCAGTCTTCATTTTTGCCTATGTAAGGAAGTGAAGTTTGTTTTATAATAAAAGTATGGAAGATATTTACTGTGTCTCAACTCATTGAAATTCTGAAATTAGTTTTGTTGTTCAAATCCATGAAAAAAATAAAATCAGTCAAATTCTTTGATGCAGTTGCTAAATTGTTAGTTATAAGATTAAAAATAAATACAGCATTGTTTTAAAAAAACAAAGAATATTGTAGTTTATGGAGTTAGAATGAAAAATATTAAGATGGAATAATTTTATTAGAAAACATGCCTAATACATAAGTTCTCTTTTGAAAAAAATGAAAAAAAATATTATAAAGTTGCTAAATTTTATCAATATTTAAATTTTTTTTACATTTGTTCTCATCATTAGTATTGCAATGTTTCCGCTATTGTCCACTCCAGCCTTCTTCATGTGTCTGTCAATTCAGATAACCTTCAGAAAATTTCAAACTGATCCTTTTATTTAGTTTACAAGGGTAAATTATTCTCATTTCACTTTCCATGTCTCATCTTTGGTTATCTTTTTTAGTACTATTCAGTTATTGCTAGTCATGTTTCCACCAGGTTTGAACATAGCTACATTATCCAACCTGGTGATTTAACTCACAATTAGTATGCTACCAAATTCACTAACCAGTGCTTTAACCTTTTACCCCAATAGATTGATTAAAAGGTCCACTTTAAAATTCCTTGAAGTTTACCCAGATCAACAGACACTTAAGATGGCTGGAGAGCATAATGTCCAAAACATTGTGACACTAACAACAGAGATGAAGACTGGCAGTAAATAATGTAAATAATAACTCCTCTTTGCAGAATTTCAGAGATAAATTTTATAAAGTTTAAAAAATATTTAATTTTGAGGTTTTTGTCTATATATTTACTTTATTTTACTTTTATTAAACGATCATCATAATTATTGCTGTCATCATCATCATCATTTTCATTTTGTTAAAATATATTTATACCTGATATAGAAGTGGATTCTTATCAGAAGACAAAAATAGTATGTCATGTCTACATTATTACTTAGTGTTGTATTGAGCATAATTCCTGATACTAAAATGCATGATGTAAAAGTCTGATGAAACTGACTTTATAATATTCCACACTGGAAACATAGCAATGATAAAAATATTATTTCACTGTCCTGAATTCATGAAAACTGTTGTGAACTCATTCTTTTTTATCTTATTTTATTGAATGTTATAAAATGTATTCATTTTTGTGGTCAGGCAGACATTCCTACAAACAAGTAATTTTCTAGTGTTATCTTTTCAAAATTAAAATCTCTTCATGTTATCTCTCTCTAAAATTTAAATCTCTTCTGGTAATCTCTCTTTGAAATTAAAATCTCCTAATTTTCTCTTTTCAAAATTAAAATTACTTCAATTTATCTTTAAAATTAAAATACATGCATTTTGCCTGAATTTCTGATCATTTATTCTGCCTTCTGGCATGCTCTTCATTTTGGTTTATTTTCCATATTTTTGTTTCTAATAGAAGTATGCCTTAACCAATAAAAACAGTGATATATTTGTTTCTTTTTAAAAAATTTTTACAAAGACATTGGAAAATAAGTTACTTCATATAATGTACATGGATATTCATTAAGAATATGAAAAATATATTAAATTCTTAACATTTTTTATTTTCAATAAGTCTTTTTTTGGTGTGTTAAAGGATTAAGATTTAATTCTTTGGGCTTGAAATCAGCTCCATCTTAAAAATTGGAAATAAATTAAAATTTGTTTCCAAATAAGGTTGAATTAAATTGGAATATAAAAATGATTAGGTGGTGAAAAAGTATCATTTAGTCTGGAAATTTGTATGAAAAATTGTCCAGTAGAGTTAGTAAACATTTATGATAATATATATTAAGTATTATTAAATATTAATTATAACAATCCTAGCTGAATTATCCACACCTTGCTGCGTATCACATTTTTTAAAAAAAAATAATTGATTTTAAATCATTGTTATAATTTGTGGAGAAAAATGATGGATTTCAATATTACTCAATGATCTTGCTAATGTGACCTCCATTTTCTGGCTTTCTCCTTCTATATTTTGGAAAGGAGTCATTCCCTTATTTAAATTTAATTTAAATCAAAGGGAAAAAAAATTATCAGTGGATGGTTTGTACAAAAACAGCTTGATTTGACTCCTTTGATGTAATACTTGATTGAATGAATTGATGAGCAGATGTCAACATTGATATGACAGTTGAATTGTCACAACAAATATGTATTGTAAGGCACTACCCACTGATTGGTGATTTATTGCTCAACTTGACATCCATATTGTCTTACTTTGATTTTGCCAATGCAACATCCATCTTCTTGCTTTCTTCTGTATTTTGGATAGGAGTCACTCCTGTGTTCAAATTTAATTTGAATCAAAAGGAAAAACTTTCAGTGGGGAGTTTGCCCTCTGGGGACCCCTGTTGATCAAAATGAAATATACTTATCCAAGTACCCTGGGTACTATAGTTTCAGAATATATATGATTATGGGGTCTATCTCCAAAATCCTAGGGGGAGTTTGATAACAAATAGACAGAGGCTACAACTATGTCATCTTAATTATTGTCTACAGCTCTTTGATATTTGTTGTGGTTCTTGGTTGTAAATAGACCTCTCCACCATGTCCCTTAAATGCTCATTTGGGGTCATGTCAGAAGTTTAATTGGAAATTTCCAGAATGTTCCTCAAATCAAATTTGGCACCTTGGCCCAATGACCATTGCATTGACCAAGTGCATTATCTTGCTGAAATAACTCACTGTTGTTGAAGTACATGGAGTCTATGAGTAGGTGTAAGTGGTCATGAATCAGTGCAATATAGCAGTTACAGATCAATGACATGTTTAGATTGAACAGCAAATCTTCACTCAATCTGCATGGTACCTTGTTGATAATTGGGGTCCATGGCCTCATGGTGTCTGCACTACAACTGAATCCTACCATCAGCATGAAAGAGCTAGAGCCATAAATAATTAGATTATACAAGATGCTGCCAGTCCTCCAGGGTCCAATTAGCACTGTTTGATGTCATTGTGGTAACAGTGGCACTCTGGAAGTTCTTCTACTCCCATATCCTATAAAAGCTAAATAACAATGAACTTAGCTGCTGGATATGTATCTGGTACTTCCTGCATGTGAATGTGATTTAAGACTGTCACTTGTCTACTACCATGCACAATTCTAGCCAAATGCTTCTGGTTAAGATCATTAAGGATCCATGTTTGGCTACTGTGCTGCCCTAAGAAGTGGGTAATATCTGCCATCAGGTATTCCCAGTACACAGGATAGTATAGATTGAAGGATATTGAATGTGCTCACAATTTCAGAAATTAATTTTTCATCTGTCTGGTACCAACTATCATGCAACATTTGAACTTGAATAATTTTTACTGCTTTGACATGAGCAGCTTAACTGGTGTTCACACTGATTCACCAGATACTTGAACACAACTGAGACAGGTTTGGACATTTCCATCATTTCAAAGAACAGCAGTACCACCTACCATGACATTTGACATATCAGTATATATTACTCCTTATTTAGATTCAGTTATTTGTCAGTGTTTTCAAAATTTTAAAATTTGAGGAAACACTGGGATAAATAGTTTTTGTTAAAATATTATTTTTGATTTACAGAAGTCAAATTAGATGACAGGACAAAGCAGGCATTAATTATTCAATCTTTATTAATCAATTCTTTGTATACATTTGTTGGTTGCTATTATCATTCAATCTCCCATGTTAGATGTATTCTCCATTCTTTACTAATATACAATATTGAGATAGATGATTGGATATTTGAGAGGAACTTTTATTTTTTGCAAGATTGATATGACCATTTTATAAATTTGATGTTCTGAATTAAAGGATTTTCACCATTCCAAGCATTTGTTGAAGATTTTCTTCATCATTTTGCTGCTTTTTGTTACAGAAATTTATGCATTCTTTGAAATATTAATCAAAATGACTGAGAAATGAATGAAGAAATTGAGAAAAAAAATGAATTATATAATGAAAATATTTCAGTTATTAAATTTTGAGAATTCAGACCTGGCATACCATCAGATGATTTTAAAATTTCATATCCTACAATAGACTTGCTATGTTAGGTTACAACCCAATTCCACCATTGTGGACAGACTTTTCCTGTTTTATCTTTTATCCTTTAATCTGTAATCCACTGTTATTTTTTTCTTAGTTCATGCCATTTTATCGACAACTTTGTCATTACTTTAAATTGATCAAATATATGAGACAAGAATGTGATAAAAAGATATTTTAAGATAATAGTAAAAAAATGTTGAACATTTATGTTTTTTTTCCATAATCAGTAGACTGGTTTGTAAAACATGGCTTTTTCTTTTCTTGTGAATTTGATTGAAACTGCAGACATTCTGTAATGAGCTATTTTTCTGTAATATCAGTAATAAGTTTCAGTTGGAAAAATTTAGAGTGGCAAAATCATTAGGCAAATGTTAGCTTTTCAAGATATTGAATGAGAAACTTTAAAGTAATGAAAAAATTGATCATTTCTTGGCTGAATTAACAAATGTGAGATGTGGGCATTTATTCCTTGCTTCTGATATCAGATTATTTTATTGGAACCAACAAAACTTATATGAATGCATGAAGAATTTTATCCATTGTTTGTTTTCACTTGTGCTAATGTTTGGTATTTGTCAGGTTTATTCAGAAAGCATTCAGCTATTTATTATTAGTGGAAAAATAGCCTACTTTATGCAACAACACCATAATCCTCTTCAAAGTACATCACACATTTATCCCAATATCTCTTCCACTG